AATTTCATCAATGTGAGTCAATCGTGTAAAAAAATTTAATTATTATATCTAAAGAGTTTAATTATCGTATTTATTTCATGTAAATAAACAAAATGAAGCCGAATGAATTTGGTTTAATGTGAATGTTGTAGTTAGTGAATAACACGACGCCAGAGTTAATAGGTGGTTGAGCTCGTTACATGGGAGGCTGGTGCTTGTTTGGGCTCAGTATTGCTCCAGTGCTCTCAGCGAAGCGCTCAATATATATATATATATATATATATATATATATATATATATATATATATATATATATATATATATATATATATATAATGTCGTACCTAGTAGCCAGAACGCACTTCTCAGCCTACTATGCAAGGCCCGATTTGCCTAATAAGCCAAGTTTTCATGAATTAATGATTTTTCGACTACCTAACCTACCTGACCTAACATAACCTAACTTTTTCGGCTACCTAACCTAACCTAACCTATAGAGATAGGTTAGGTTAGGTAGGGTTGGTTAGGTTCGGTCATATATCTATGTTAATTTTAACTCCAATAAAAAAAATTGACCTCATACGTAATGAAATGGGTAGCTTTATCATTTCACAAGAAAAAAATTAGAGAAAATATAAAAATTCAGGAAAACTTGGCTTATTAGGCAAATCGGGCCTTGCATAGTAGGCTGAGAAGTGCGTTCTGGCTACTAGGTACGACATATATATATATATATATATATATATATATATATATATATATATATATATATATATATATATATATATATATATTAGTATATTTTGGTAGCAGTCTTTCCTGTAGACATATATTATTAAATATGACCGAAAAAGTGAGATTAATAATTCTAACACGAATTTTCTCAATATTTTTTATGTTTCTTTTCACTGTTGATGGTAATTGAAAAATCAATTCTCCAAAATTCATTTTTATTTCTAGTCTGACGCGACGCCTGAACGCGTTTCGTAATAACTGATTACATTTTCAAAGACTTTAGTTTACACACACACAACTGTAACCTGTAAAAACACACATAATAAAAGTTTAATGTGTGTTTTCAAATAAAAATAAAATTTTGGAGAATTGATTTTTTTAATGTAAGTAGAATTGACCATTCAAGTAAGTAACTTCTTACTTGAATGGCCCCTTTTTACCCCCTTACTTCTTACTTGAAATTACTCATTAGCTTCCTCAACACACAAGCCGCAACAAGGGATGCAGAGTTCGAGTCTCCAACAGCCCAGGTGAATGGGATGACAGATTTGGGGGTTAAAGGATATCAGGATTGAAATATTTTTGTTAACTTCTCGTGTCGTGATTTGCCATTTAAAGATATAGATATACACCCATCCACTCTCCCCCCCCTTTCTCTTGCAGGTCGGCGTTCAATCCCCGATCGTCCAAGTGGTTGGGAACCATTCCTTCCCCCGTCCCATCCCAAATCCTTATCCTGACCCCTCCCAGTGCTATATAGTTGTAATGGCTTGGCGCTTCCCCCTGATAGTTCCCTTCCCCCCCCCCCCCCCACACACACACAGGGATCTGGGTAGTGAAGTCTCGCCTGGTAAATTGACTGGATTTCTATGATAAGATTTCAATGAAGAGAGAAGGATAGACTGACCGCATTTTCATTGACTATCAGAAAGCCTTTGGCAGTGTTCATCAGGCTACTGCATGAACATTAGAAACAAGTTGAGTTGTTGTTGTTGGTTAAGTTAATTAGGTTAGGATAGGTTAGGATAAGTTTAGGTTAGGATAAGTTAGGTTAGCATAGGTTAGGATAAGTTAGGTTAGGATAAGTTAGGTTTGGATAAGCTAGGTTAGGATAGGTTAGGTTAGGCTAGATTAGGTTAGGATAGGTTAGGTTAGCATAGGTTAGGATAAGTTAGGTTAGGATAGGTTAGGTTAGGCTAGATTAGGTTAGGATAGGTTAGGTTAGCATAGGTTAGAATAAGTTAGGTTAGGATAAGTTAGTTTAGCATAGGTTAGGATAAGTTAGGATAGGTTAGGTTAGGTTCGGATAAGTTAGGATAGGTTAGGTTAGGTTAGGATAAGTTAGGTTAGGCTAGATTAGGTTAGTCTGGGTTAGATTAGCATAGATTAGGTTGGGTAAAGCTAGACTAAGATTGTTTCCCTAATAGTGATGACGTAGAAGAGCACAAACGTTTCTCAGGTGTTGCTCTCTACATTATCTGAGAGAACTAGACTTCAACACGCTGGTTAAGGCAAGGTTTAGAGGTGACATGATCACGATGTAAAAGATTATATTGAGGTATTGGCGAAGTTGAGAATTTAGAACCGAAATGTTTAACATATAGAGAGGCAGGGCGAGAGGCCTGGGGCGGGAATTGGTAATGTAAATGAGTGACTGATGTATAAGGAACGACTTCTTCAGTGTGTAGCTAATTGAATGGGTGTAATGAGATAAAACTTGGTCCAAGAGCTAAAGCTCGGCCTGAAATAACACGTGATTTCACATAGGTGAGTACACGTAGTCTAAGATCTAAATGTCTTTCGCTATTTTTTAAATGGTCTAATTTCAATTGTTTCGTCAAATACAACCTGAAATTTTCAACATTTTCAACAATTCTGAACGAGAAATTTCTCACATTACCAACTTGATTAGCGAGACTTAAGTCAAACGCATTTATAAATTCACTACTTGGAACAAAAAGTTCCAAGTAGCACGGGCTATGGTGAGCCCGTAGTGCCTCAACTAAATCATATTTATGTACCAGTTATGAAGATGAGGCGCCTGGCGCAGCGGGATTATTCTCCAGGCTGCTGGCAAAAGAGTCATCCTGCCAGGAGCTCGACTCTCAAGGTGGATCTATCAGCCTTTGATGTGTTAATCTCGGCTTTGTGAGTGGCACCATGACCAGCCTAGACTCCAGGGCCAGTCTTACACCAGCCCTGGTGGCACGCTGTTCACTATCACTGTTCTTGTGGCACGCTGTTCACTATCACTGTTCCTGTGGTTGGCTGTTCACTATCACTGTTCTTATGGTAGGCTGTTCACTATCACTGTTCCTGTGGCACGCTGTTCACTATCACTGTTCTTGTGGCAGACTGTTCACTATCACTGTGCTTGTGGTAGGCTGTTCACTATCACTGTTCTTGTGGTAGGCTGTTCACTATCACTGTTCTTGTGGTAGGCTGTTCACTATCACTTCCTGTGGTAGGCTGTTCACTATCACTGTTCTTGTGGTAGGCTGTTCACTATCACTGTTCCTGTGGTAGGCTGTTCTTCTTAGTCCCGGGATCCCGGGATTTCTCTCTCTCTCTCTCTCTCTCTCTCTCTCTCTCTCTCTCTCTCTCTCTCTGTATGTCTCTCTCTCTCTCTCTCTCTCTCTCTCTCTGTATCTCTCTCTCTCTCTCTCTCTCTCTCTCTCTCTCTCTCTCCTCTCTCTCTCTCTCTCTCTCTCTCTCTCTCTCTCTCTCTCTCTCTCTCTCTCTCTCTCTCTCTCTCTCTCTCTCTCTCTCTCTCTCTCACACAGTTCATATAATAGCAAGTACCAGGAGCGGAAGGTACACCCAGGGACTGGGCAATATCAGAGCGGTCACTTGCACCAAAACTTGGTGGATTTGTGCAATTCCCCGCCAGACAGCCTCCGCAACACGCCCCAAAACTTTCCCTCGTTCCAATCCTCAGGATTCGCCTCCACCAATCGCGCGCCCACGACTCTTGGGATTGGAATATTGCTGTGTGTGGTCCTTGACTTGAGAGTATGCTGTGTGGTCCTTGACTTGAGAGTATGCTGTGTGTGGTCCTTGACTTGAGAGTATGCTGTGTGTGGTCCTTGACTTGAGAGTATGCTGTGTGGTCCTTGACTTGAGAGTATGCTGTGTGTGGTCCTTGACTTGAGAGTATGCTGTGTGATCCTTGACTTGAGAGTATGCTGTGTGTGGTCCTTGACTTGAGAGTATGCTGTGTGGTCCTTGACTTGAGGGTATGCTGTATGGGCCTTGACTTGAGGGTATGCTGTGTGATCCTTGACTTGAGAGTATGCTGTGTGTGGTCCTTGACTTGAGAGTATGCTGTGTGGTCCTTGACTTGGTAGTATGATGTGTGATCCTTGACTTGAGAGTATGCTGTGTGTGGTCCTTGACTTGAGAGTATGCTGTGTGTGGTCCTTGACTTGGTAGTATGATGTGTGATCCTTGACTTGAGAGTATGCTGTGTGTGGTCCTTGACTTGAGAGTATGCTGTGTGTGGTCCTTGACTTGGTAGTATGCTGTGTGGTCCTTGACTTGGTAGTATGCTGTGTGGTCCTTGACTTGGTAGTATGATGTGTGGTCCTTGACTTTAGAGTATGCTGTGTGTGGTCCTTGACTTGAGAGTATGCTGTGTGGTCCTTGACTTGGTAGTATGATGTGTGGTCCTTGACTTGAGAGTATGCTGTGTGGTCCTTGACTTGAGAGTATGCTGTGTGGTCCTTGACTTGGTAGTATGATGTGTGGTCCTTGACTTGAGAGTATGCTGTGTGATCCTTGACTTGAGAGTATGCTGTGTGTGGTCCTTGACTTGAGAGTATGCTGTGTGGTCCTTGACTTGAGAGTATGCTGTGTGTGATCCTTGACTTGAGAGTATGCTGTGTGTGGTCCTTGACTTTAGAGTATGCTGTGTGTGGTCCTTGACTTGAGAGTATGCTGTGTGTGATCCTTGACTTGAGAGTATGCTGTGTGGTCCTTGACTTGGTAGTATGCTGTGTGGTCCTTGACTTGAGAGTATGCTGTGTGTGGTCCTTGACTTTAGAGTATGCTGTGTGTGGTCCTTGACTTGAGAGTATGCTGTGTGGTCCTTGACTTGGTAGTATGCTGTGTGGTCCTTGACTTGAGAGTATGCTGTGTGTGGTCCTTGACTTGAGAGTATGCTGTGTGTGGTCCTTGACTTTAGAGTATGCTGAGTGTGGTCCTTGACTTGAGAGTATGCTGTGTGTGATCCTTGACTTGAGAGTATGCTGTGTGTGATCCTTGACTTGAGAGTATGCTGTGTGTGATCATTGACTTGAGAGTATGCTGTGTGTGATCCTTGACTTGAGAGTATGCTGAGTGTGGTCCTTGACTTGAGAGTATGCTGTGTGTGATCCTTGACTTGAGAGTATGCTATGTGGTCCTTGACTTGATAGTATGCTGTGTGTGATCCTTGACTTGAGAGTATGCTGTGTGTGGTCCTTGACTTGAGGGTATGCTGTGTGGGCCTTGACTTGATAGTATGCTGTGTGGGCCTTGACTTGAGAGTATGCTATGTGATCCTTGACTTGAGGGTATGCTGTGTGGGCCTTGACTTGAGGGTATGCTGTGTGGTCCTTGACTTGAGGGTATACTGTGTGGTCCTTGACTTGAGAGTATGCTGTGTGATCCTTGACTTGAGGGTATACTGTGTGGTCCTTGACTTGAGAGTATGCTGTGTGATCCTTGACTTGAGGGTATACTGTGTGGTCCTTGACTTGAGGGTATGCTGTGTGGTCCTTGACTTGAGGGTATGCTGTGTGGTCCTTGACTTGAGAGTATGCTGTATGGGCCTTGACTTGAGGGTATGCTGTGTGGTCCTTGACTTGAGAGTATGCTGTGTGATCCTTGACTTGAGGGTATACTGTGTGGTCCTTGACTTGAGAGTATGCTGTGTGATCCTTGACTTGAGGGTATGCTGTGTGGTCCTTGACTTGAGGGTATACTGTGTGGTCCTTGACTTGAGGGTATGCTGTGTGGTCCTTGACTTGAGGGTATGCTGTGTGGTCCTTGACTTGAGAGTATGCTGTGTGGTCCTTGACTTGAGAGTATGCTGTGTGGGCCTTGACTTGAGGGTATGCTGTGTGGGACTTGACTTGAGAGTATGCTGTGTGGTCCTTGACTTGAGAGTATGCTGTGTGGGCCTTGACTTGAGGGTATGCTGTGTGGGCCTTGACTTGAGAGTATGCTGTGTGGGCCTTGACTTGAGGGTATGCTGTGTGGGCCTTGACTTGAGAGTATGCTGTGTGGGCCTTGACTAGACCCGGTGATTTCTTGAGTATGACCTCACATGACCTGGTATTTCGTTAATTGTGACGTCACTTGACCTAGTTCTTGAGTGTGACCTCTTGTGTGATGTGGCAAAAATATGCTCTGTGTGTGTCTGTAAAAATATACGAGTACAGAGCGCTGTCCACTCAGCTATCAGGCCCCTGTGTGTGTGTGTGTGTGTGTGTACTCGTCTATTTGTATTCACCTATTTGTGCTTGCGGGGTTGAGCTCTGGCTCTTTGGTCCCGCCTCTCAACCGTCAATCAACAGGTGTACAGGTTCCTGAGCCTACTGGGCTCTATCATATCTACATTTGAAACTGTGTATGGAGTCAGCCTCCACCACATCACTGCCTAATGCATTCCAACTGTTAACTACTCTGACACTGAAAAAGTTCTTTCTAACGTCCCTGTGGCTCATTTGGGTACTCATTTTCTACCTGTGTCCCCTTGTTCGCGTCCCACCAGTGTTGAATAGTTCATCCTTGTTTACCCGGTCGATTCCCCTGAGGATTTTGTAGGTTATGATCATGTCTCCCCTTACTCTTCTGTCTTCCAGTGTCGTAAGGTGCATTTCCCGCAGCCTTTCCTCGTAACTCATGCCTCTTAGTTCTGGGACTAGTCTAGTGGCATACCTCTGAACTTTTTCCAGCTTCGTCTTGTGCTTGACAAGGTACGGGCTCCATGCTGGGGCCGCATACTCCAGGATTGGTCTTACATATGTGGTGTACAAGATTCTGAATGATTCCTTACACAGGTTCCTGAAGGCTGTTCTGATGTTAGCCAGCCTCGCATATGCCGCAGACGTTATTCTTTTTATGTGGGCTTCAGGAGACAGGTTTGGTGTGATATCAACTCCTAGATCTTTCTCTCTGTCTGTTTCATTAAGTACTTCATCTCCTATTCTGTATCCTGTGTCTGGTCTCCTGTTTCCACAAATGTGTGTGTCTGTACTCACCTAGTTGTGTTTGCGGGGGTTGAGCTCTGGCTCTTTGGTTCCGCCTCTCAACCGTCAATCAACAGGTGTACAGATTCCTGAGCCTACTGGGCTCTATCTTATCTACACTTGAAGAGCCTCAGCGCTTGCAACAGTTTGCAACCAGCAATATCAAGTGATCCAAAGCTACTTACAAAGGTCACCTGTCCCCTAACACACTACACGTTTAATACAACTAACCCAACCGTCAGATTCGCGCCGGTTTAGCAGGAACTAAAGCGCCTCAATATTGACGTTCTCTGAGCATTTGACTAAATAAAGTTGCTTAGATTCGAGTGTGTCTGGCTAGGTCAAACAGTTACATTTGTTACGGAGTGGCAGATCGGGAGAAGGACGTGTATGTAACCTGTCCTCACGCTAAATGCGTCACATATGTGTCACATATATGTGAAAACAGTGTAGGGAGCCGGTCGGCCGAGCGGACAGCACGCTGGACTTGTGATCCTGTGATCCTGGGTTCGATCCCAGGCGCCGGCGAGAAACAATGGGCAGAGTTTCTTTC